TCATGTAAAAAAATACGTAGAATCTCATGGTGCCAACGGTTTTTGAATGCGTTGCCAAATAGGTACTTTTCGGTACTATTTACACTAAAATATACAAGATAAATTATAGACAAAAAAGCGCTCGTTAAATTACGTTGAAATGGAAGGTACTTACTATGCTTTGATAAGTGATAATCATGTAAAACAATACGTAGAATCTCATGGTGCCAACGGTTTTTGAATGCGTTGCCAAATAGATTATTTCCGGCATTATTTATACTAAAATATACAAGATAAATCAAACACAAAAAAGCGCTCGTTAAATTACTTGGAAATGGAAGGCATTTACTACGTTTTAATAAGTGATAATCATGTAAAAAAATACGTAGAATCTCATGGTGCACACGGTTTTAGAATGCGTTGCCAAATAGGTACTTTCCGGTACTATTTACACTAAAATATACAAAATAAATTAAAGACAAAAAAGCGCTCGTTAAATTACTTTGATATGGAAGGCATTTACTATGCATTGATAAGTGATAATCATGTAAAAAAATACGTAGAATCTCATGGTACTAACGGTTTTTGAATACGTTGTCAAATAGGTACTTTCCGGCAGTATTTGCATTAAAATATACAAGATAATTTAAACACCAAAAAGCGCTCGTTAAATTACTGGGAAATGGAAGGCACATACCATATTTTAACAAGTGATAATCATGTAAAAAAATACGTAGAATCTCATGGTACTAACGGTTTTTGAATGCGTTGCCAAATAGGTACTTTCCGGTACTATTTACACTAAAATATACAAGATAAATCAAACACAAAAAGCGCACTTTAAAATACGTAGAATCTCATGGTACTAACGGTTTTTGAATGCGTTGCCAAATAGGTACTTTCCGGTACTATTTACACTAAAATATACAAGATAAATTATAGACAAAAAAGCGCTCGTTAAATTACTTTGAAATGAAAGGTATTTACTATGTTTTGATAAGTGATAATCATGTAAAAAAGTACGTAGAATCTCATAGTGCCAACGGTTTTTGAATGCGTTGCCAAATAGATNCTATGTCTACCATTGCAGTACATTTTGTAGGGTGTCAGTACGTTTGTATTTATGATAGTAGATTTTTTTTTTATACTTAAACACAAAACCAACATATATTTAAGGTAATATAAAAAGAAAAGGAAGTCAATCTCACAAATACTGTTTTAGTGGCAACTGGGTGGTCGATAGAACAAAAACAACAGCTTTTAGCCGCTTTGCAAAAGCATGGGGCAACAGATCCCTTTGTAATCGCTTCGGAAATCCCGGGGAGAACTGTAGTAGATGTACAGTTAATGATGAAAAAATACGAAAGACTCGCGTTACAAAAAATGGACGTCCCCAAGAGCTGTAAAGCCCCACTGGATCAATGGATTGAAACTATACAGTGGACTGCCAAGCAGCCCCTAAATGTCAGTTGCGTCTCTAAAGCCCTGAAATATATCGCATTATTTGAACCCCATCAACCTTCATTAATCAATTTACCGTAAGAAACATTCAATCTGCTTCGTATTAAGATGTATTTTATTAGTAATAAGAAGAAATAATTTTTTAGAGACAGTTACGAATTATTGGCAGACCTTTCAAGCGGCATGTCTGCAAAAAATGTTTCCAATGAAACTGCATTCTTTCTTCGAAAATGTCTTTATCAATTGTCCGTTAAAATAAAAAATGATAGTACAGACGAGGAAGAAGAGTTTTTAGAAAACTTCAAGGCGGAAAAATTAGAGTACAAGAAAACATACGGAAAACGAAAGGTTTGATATTAATGCCTTTATGATATATTTTTGTAATAATTAAATTTCTTTTTAGGCTACAGATCCAGATCCGGTGATGAATCCCTTATTAAATAATTTGGTTGTGCCAAGAAAACTACTCAAAAAGTCTACCGATGTGATATTGGAAGAAACAGAAGGCATTACGACGAATAAACAAATACCTATTCAAAAATTGAAATAGAATGTAGAGTGATAATATCGGTAGATTAATAACTGTAAATTTATTTATAAATTAATAAATAACACGTTTTTATATATCTTATTTTCTTACTAATTCTTTGAAGTAGAACATTACCTGACATCTAGCGGGAAACTTTTCAAAAAG